GGGCCGGGCCGCGCTCACTCCGCCCGGCGGGACCGCACCGGGTCGTCCCGGGGCCGCGCCGGCGTTTAGGAACGGGGCATCCCACCGGGAGCCGGCTGGGAAGCGTAGCACCCTCGGGGCCGGGCCCGGCTGGGAACGGGAGCTGGCGGTGTCCGGGCCGGGCGGCCCCCCCGCCGCCCCCGCTCCCGGAGCGGTGCCTTGGACGGATTCCCCGTGCTTTTGCCCCAGGGAAATGCCCCCCCGCCCCCCTTCCCCCTCGTAGCGTGTGAGGTTTGGGACCGGGACCCCCGGGTCCCGCTCAGCCCCGGGTGGGGAGATCTCGGGGGAAGGTGCCCGATCTTGGCCGAGGTGCCGGCATCGCTGGAGAAGGGGCTGGTCGGTACCGTAAAGGTCTCCCGCTCCTGTCAGGCCGGGCTTGTTACCGTGCTGAATGTCGGGAGAGCGTAAAGGGGCTCCTGCCAGGTAATGCCGGGACACCGGCAGCCTCCCGTGTCCTCCCGTGTCCTCCCGTGTCCTCCCGTGTCCTCCCGTGTCCCTCCTTTCAGCACACATACTGCCATCCTGAACCTGGCTCTGCATTAGGTGTCAGCAGGGGAAAGTGCTCTTTAGAGCAACTTCAGTCTCTTCTCTGGTCCCCGGCAGCATGAGGACACTGATGTTTACATTTGCCACTTCTTTGCCAGTACGTGAAGAATCGTCCCTGGGTTTTTCCCCAAAAAACTGCCAGGTTTTCCCATCTCTGACTTCAGGTTGCAGCAAAACTGCTGTTCAGTGTTTCACCGGAATAGCCTGAGCCTTGTGGCTCTTCTCCTTGTCTTTTCGTTAGTGATGGAAGCTGCGCGTCAGTAACATGGGTTGAAACATAACAACAGCGCAGGTGCCCATTAGCACCAGTTAGGCCAGCATTGGTGTGTAGGCACCAAATAAATTGCTTCTGTGGAAGCTCTGATTCACCCTTCTTCTGAAAGTTTAATTCCTCATCTGAGGTCGGACCTTTGACAAAAAAAGCAGTGTTAGCATTTTTCTCGGTGCCAGCTTCTTGCCGTGCCTCATGCATTAGGGTAATTCATCCTGCAGCCTGCAAACGTCAGTCCAGTGCTGCCCTGCTGAGAGCAAATTACTTCCTTGTGCATTTGCACACCCTTTTGAAGGGCAGCATTAAAAGCAGGAGGGAGGAGTGGCGGGGATGGTCTGCGTCGTGTGGGTGAAACTTTGACGTGGCTTCAGCAGGCTGTGAGCACAGGGTGGGCTCTGTCCCCCCATCACTAACTCGAACTGTCCTCTTAACCCTGCAGATAATCCGCGTGCAGTCGCCGGAAGGGGTGAAGCGCATCACGGCCACGAAGCGAGAAACAGTGGCGACGTTCCTCAAGAAGGTACCCTGAGCCTCTCTGCGCCTTCCCTGCTTGCCTGTGGAACAAGGCAGGGCTCCTGCGGCTCAGCCGGTGCAGCGGCTCTCTCTCGTGGGAGATACGCGCTTCACCTTGCTGGTCAAATGTGCTGACAGCAGCGAGGATCGGCATGCCTTGTGGAAAATGGCATTTTTATTGGTGTAGCCAAAACCAGTTTTCTCATTGCTGCTCCAGAGGGAGAATAACAAAATTAAAGAAGAAAACTTACTCAGCTTTTCAGTTGGAGTTTCCTGGGGTGGGAGCTTTCCTGGGGGAGGACATGTTTTTAGTGTTCTCCCAAAAAAATGGCAGCTGGGGAAGCGGAGGCTGACAGCGACACAGGAAAGCTGTTTGACAGTTAAAGCCTGCTGCAAGGGACTGGCCTCTTCAGGCATGAGCCAGTTGAAATTCAGCTGCTTGATTTGCACTTTGAATATCATTTGAATGTGCTTTGTGTGCCGCTGGTTTTCCAATGTGGTTTTGAGAGAGAGCAAGGAGGGAATTAAGGTGAGATCTTAAGGCGATGTGGGAGCCTCCAGGTCTCCTGGGAAGGATTTCCATCCTGGGATGAGGAGAACACACTGAGCGTTGGAGTTGTCAGATTTGGAGTTGGCTGTAGCCTGTTCTTTAGTCTGATGCAACTGCTCAATGTCTAAAGTTTGCTATTTAAGAGTGAGCAGTTCTCCATTTCCTTCCCTCCTGGAACTCCACTGTAACCTGGAACCCTCAGATTAGGATTTCTTTGCTTCGTAAGAGAAGTACTTTGTGTTCCTGTGCCTGAAGGGCCATTCTTCTAGTCAGCTAGATTTCCTTTCTCCCTCCGAGGGGGAAGGGGAGCAGACTGAAACCTGCTGCTGTTTGTGAGTTGTTTGTTTTGTTTGAAGCTTGGGCCCAGACCACAACAGCAATCCCCACCTGACCAAGCGAAAATCCTGATGCATTTCAGGGCTGGGTCAGAGACACCCGCTGCAGCCGCTGAACAGTCTCACCCAAGGGGAAAAAAAGCATTGCTTTCAAAATCTCTGGAACCTGTGCAAAACAAGCTGCTCAGTTTCAAGGGTTCATATTACCCGAGGCAGTGTGGAACAATCGTGCTTGCAACCATTTACTGTTGGAACAAAAGCATCGGCACTCACTGAAATTGCCTGTTGATCTGGGGAAAACTATATCCTCTTGCTGAGCTGAATACAAGAAATGTTTAGGTTTCTTTCCTGATATAGGGTTTACTTGAAAGGGAAATGTTGCAAATTTTACCACCTAAGATCTGTGCATATTAATAGCTGTGGATTTTAACACTGAAATGTTAATCCATATGGTGGATTTCATATTTAGCTAGATAGCTGTAATTAAAGAGGCATCAGATTGCTGCTTCTATGCTAGCAATTAACTTAGATCTCCTCCTTGATGACTCCAGAGAAGCTGCAAAAGAAGTGTGCAAAAAAGCACATTTCAGAATGATAAGGGCCCCGATAATCTTCTCCGCACGTCCTAGGTAAGAGTACTAAAAAAGTAAACTCTCAGGTGCGTTCAGGTTAGAATCGAGTTAGGAACTAACTTGAGCCTTTGTTAATGTATTGTGGAATTTGTCTCCCCCCAAAAAACTGGTGAAGTCTGTGGCCTGATGAGCCAACGTTAAACTCTGGCAGGCGTAACACAGGAGATGAACCATTTGAAAGTTGTGCTTCCATTCAAATGGCAGATCGCTTGCTGCTACAAATGGCAGCAAAGCTGACAGTAGAGAAACTGCTTTCCATGACTTTGCTCATGTGACAGTTGTGTTTGTGGCTTGTTAGATTTGTCCTGTGTGCAGTCACTGTCTCTGAGCCCTACCAAAGCCATAGGGAGATGTACCTAATAAAAATAGAGGCTTTTAACTTAAGAATTTAGGGAGAAACTTGTCATCTAGAGAAATTTTTAATGCTACTTTTAAACTGATTATGTTTTTAAGTGGCCAAATGTGAAAATTGTTATTGCTGTGAAGAGGCATTTGACTGATTAAGAGTAAAGCAGCCTTAAACTGAACTGGTGAGAGGATAAGCAGGGAAAAAAACGGCCCAGGAACTGAGAGGTGGTTGTTGTGAGCGTAAGTTCCATCAGGAGAAAAGAGGCAAATGCAGAAAAACTGGAAGGAGAACAGCAGGAAGAGCTTGAGTGAAACTCATGTAGCAACTGGTAGGGGGGAGCAGAGCTGAGGGCAAAACATCAAGAGGTGAAGATCTGGACTGAGGAATTCTGGTCGTGGGAAGATGAGAATGACTTGGCTGGTGTGTGCTGGAGCGAGAGAACTGGGGTAATGGAGAAGATAGTTTCCCCCCCTCTAGTCATGACAGTGCTTGCCTGGATTTAGATGAAATACTGCATTTGTGTTGTGTGAGTGAGAGACACGTTCTGTTTAAGTTGCTTTTTTTAATAGATTGCTTGTGTTACTAAGTGTTTCTATTTTTCTCAGTTGTCCTGAGCTCTTCAGAAATGTGGATGAATTCAGCTAACATTTTGCAATAGAAGTTCCCTGGACTTAGCGCTTGCTCTGAGCAGCTTTCAGCATCTGACCGGGGGTGTGAGGTATCTTAAACCTTGTCATTCTTCTCTCTCTTTCAGGTTGCTAAAGAATTTGGTTTCAGGAATAATGGGTTTTCTGTCTACACCAATAGAAACAGGACAGGAGAGATCACAGCATCGCAAAACAAATCCCTCAACTTACTGAAAATCAAGTGAGTCCTGACAGACACCGCTGTGGGTGGAGGGGGGGCTTTGTACAACAGGGTGCCTCTTCTCTGAGCTTGCCTGAATTCTTCCCTCCAAACTGGGCAGCAGCAGGCAACATCACGTTACAGAAGTTCTAAGCTTTCAGCTATCACTCACCAACTACTTGAAGGAACAAGCTTGATCGACGTGCTGAAATGGGGGTGATCAAATTGACTACATGTGAGGCTGTGGCAGCCATTTCTTAGGTTGCTTCTTGCGTTGTGTTTGCTTGTTGTGGTGAGGCAGCAACGGGCCTCCTGTTTGCTCTTTTACAGCCTACAGCAAGCTCCCTCATCCCTGCTTTCATTCACGCTATCCTTTTTTTCTGCATCAATGCCAGAGTCTGATAGTCCCCTGTGCAGAAGCCAGGGTTCCTGCCTTCTGTAGCCAGGCACCTAGGGAGATCAGAGGTGTCAAATGGTGCAATCACTTCATGGTTGGTTGGGGATGTCTTAATTCTGTTCATGTCAGGAATAATGTTAAACTGGTTAAAAATACAAGAGCTGTTACCACCATGTGCAACTTGTCACTTGAATGTGTCAGCGCTGGCAGCTGCCTTGGGAGGACTGTGACTTGATGTGCACAGGATCCACACTAGTCCTTTTTCTTGCTGGTGCTGTCGCTTCTCTCCATAGGCTCCTTTTGCCTTTTTCTTCATCTTTTTCCCACAGTCCTGTCTCCTGATGAAAAGATTTGCATTTGTTGTGCAAATGACCAAAGCAGCAGAAAGAGGTGGCTAACGGAATGGCTTCGGACTGCACGTTTGCTACTCTGTGTGTAGTTTGTGATAAATCACACGTTTCTCAGTGGTCTGGGAGGTTTGCTACCCAGAAGCAACTACAGATACCTGTGTGTTGTTTTTCCACACCCATAGGCATGGCGATATGCTGTTTCTCTACCCCTCGAGCCCGGCTGGCTGCTCCTCAGAGACCATGGACACCTCTGTCTCCCAAGGCCTGCGGCCTGTGGGGGCACCCCAGGTGGTGGAAGATGAGATCGACCAGTATCTGATCAAACAGGATGGGAAGATTTACCGAAATCGAGACCAGCAGCTGTAAGTACAGGTGGACTTTGTTTCTGGCAATGCATCTGTGCCTTACCAGAGCTTGTAACATCTTGTCTGAAACCTGCAGCCAGGAAGTGTGCTATGGGAACTGCCCTCTGAGCCACTGCTCTATTCCTCACTGCCTTTGAAATGTTCGCAAGGGAAAACAGCTCCTGCCATTGTCCGGGAAGGTTAAATTGAGCTCTGGTGAGCTGAGGAAGGAAGCAGATACCAAAATCCCAGGGTCTTTGCCAGGAAGGACTCATTCAGAGCATCTATTGTTCTGATCTAGGTGGCCCCTGCTATGGGACTTGTGATCATATATTTTGTGCTCCTAAAACATTTGGAGCTCTCTAGATTAAAATGAATACTTTGAATTCTTCCCCAGGATGTCCTGGCAGCCGGTGCTGTGTAGAAATACTAGGTTATGCTCTGTGTGTGGCATATTGCTTAATAAGCAGGAGCCTGCTGTCTGCAGTAGCTTCTGTTCCATATGGTCTCAATATGTAGCTCCCTGTTGTTTGGGTCCTGAGGTGACAGGCGTGCGGGGCAGCAGGGCCAGGTCTCCATCTCGCAGGAGGGGTGCGGACGGGGAAATGTGCTTTCAGCCAGAGCTGCTGTCTCAGCATCACCCAGCCAGCAGTGGGTGAACACCAAGGTCAGATTCGTTTTCTAAATCACGGGCGGCTCCTCTGTCAAGAGCGGAGACCTGAGCTCTGTTGCCTTTTCTGGCTGCCGTGCAGTCTCTCCCTGCTTGGGCAGGGCCGACGCAACCCTGCATCGCTGTCTTCGGCACTGCGATGAGTGCGTGTGGCACCTCACCCAAGCAGGAGCACTTCTGTGTCTTCAGATCCAGCCACTCCTCATAAAGGAAGAACACAGCAGTGAAGGGAATGAGTGGAAGTATCCAACGGCAGAGACGTGGAAGTGGGACTTGGGTCTCTGCCTGCTTAATTTTTGGCTTCCTTTCCATCACGTGCCTTTCTAACCTTTCTGTGAAGCCAGGGAGTCCATTTTGCTCGCAAAAGTGCCACAAAGTCTAGCTTTGCCAAAACTCTTAGCTGCAAGAGGCTTAGGTAAACAAAACAGCCTGTATTTTTTGTAAAAATAATAATATAATGGTGAGTTAATACCACCGTAAATTTACACTGATGCTGCTAAAATGTCCTCTGTCTAGATGGTTGGTTTTTATTGCTCATCGTTAACAACGTCCCAGTTGGCTACTGGCCTGATGTCTGTACTGGTTGTTGGCTTGGGGCTGGACCCCTCTGCAAAGTAACTTCTGCAAGGGCTTGAGTGAAAATTTTAAAGGCAACCAGGAATTTTTTACAAAACAGAATAGCTTGCCCTTCCCCATTGTGTTGTCTTCCATATGGTTTATCTTTAGTGCTGCAGCGGCAAGGAAGTTTGGAGAGACGTAGCCTTTACATGGAAAATCCTATCTAACCTTTTCAGGCTGATGATAAATGAGGAAAATGTCACATTATCGAAACAATAAAGCCAAAACCTACCACTCCATGGCAAAAACACTGTCTTTAACTTGACCACATTTTTCAAAAGCATAAATGAAGGTATTGTTCTTAGCAGGGAGCCAAAGCACAGTGGTGGATATTTATGATAAAAAGAGTGTGTCTGGGCTTGTTCCTGTATTTGTGAGTGCATATCAATCTAAACATGAAGGGATGCTGGCTTTCAGCTGAGTGCATTAGCAGCCTTTAGTGGTCCTCTATGTACATTATCTGCCACAATACTTTGTTAAAAGCAATGCTGCAACTGGATCCCATCATTTTGTCTTTAGAAGAGCCAACATCCATGCTCCTCTCTAGAGGCCTGCCTTTGAAAACTAGCACTGACCTAGTGCTGGGGCAGAGGTGTGGGGGGATTTTTTTGTTGTTTTGGGTGGGTTTTTTTAATGTGATCACCTCAAAAGGAGGTGTTTTCCCCTCTGTTTTGTAACTTTACCCAGCAGGTCTTTATGTGTCCAATAAACACATGCTTCCTTGTTTGTTCCAGGCCATCCTCTAGTGCCTGATAAAGGATGAATGTTGTGGTTGTCTTTTTGTTAGAACCACACAGGCCAGCGCTGTGACGTAGATTTAAAACACTTTGAATTGAAACACAACCCCAACGCAGGGTTGTAAAACTTGAGAAGCTGTGGTCTGACATAGGTTCACGTGGCTGTTCAGAGAGCAGAGCCGCTTGCCAGCAACACAGACATTAGGAGGGTTTCATCTTGACCTGGGGCTCTCAGATTTAACCTGAAGCTGTTGCTGTCTCTTTATGTGAAGTTGTCTTGTGGTGACCCCTCTGTAATACTCCCTAGTGGGTGGAGACTTGCTCAGAGCTGTGTGATTGTATCGATCTTCCACACCACAACTGTTAGTCTAGAGCAACTTTGACCATCCAACTTCTCCCTTGTTAAATAAGAGTTAACGCTGCTTCTGTTTCTCTTTGCATAGGTGTCGTCATGGCCCCTTGGGTAAATGTGTGCATTGTGTACCGCTGGAGGTAAGAGCCCCAAGAAGGTGCTCCAGAAAGTCACACAAAAGCATGTCCTCTTGGATTTGGTTTCTTCCAGTATGAATGCTTTTCCTCGGAGCACCGCCCCCATAGAGATGGCAGCTCTGGGTCAGAATCCTGCCGTGCACTGTCAAAGGTGCCAGTTCACATCCAGGATCACTAAAGCTCTAGGCCTTTGAGACCCTGGGTTTATTCTGGTTAATGCTCTGTTCTTCTGCAGTAATGAGTTTAACAGAAAGTACTTTAGAAAAGCTCCAATTTTCCTCCCTCTTCACTCCTGCCTGGATCTTCTTCTTTCACTCCCCTCTCATGGATCCCAGCACTTCCCAGTTTAACCATGTATTATTCAGGTTGAAGGCAGCTTTAGTAACGCCTACAAATGTGCTAAGCTCTATAATTTATGGCATGAGGCAGCGATCCCTCAAAAGTCGCTGCGAGCCAGGATGGCTGTTCCCCCGCTTCCCCGCCGTGTGCTCTGGAAGTTCTTTGGCCTTGTTTGAGCAGCTGGGCTTTTTGTTTGTTGTTAGATATTGAAAGGAAAAAGCATTTTGCCTTTGAGGCTTGTTCTGATTTGTGGAGCCAATCTGTTATAAAAGTAGGAGGCGATAATAAAACTCGCTGTTGTAGAGCCCCACTGTTTCTATCACAGTAGTAGCTGCCTTGAAAATGAGCCTAAATTTTCTTGATTGTTTCCACATTGAGAGCCACTGGGGTTGACTCTAGAACATCCATTTGTTTAGTGATCAATGTATTATCAGACAGGTGTCTGACCTGGCTTTTCTTTGTGTGGTGTTTTTGGCAGCCTTTTGATGAGGATTATTTAAACCATCTGGAACCTCCTGTGAAGCATATGTCCTTCCATGCCTACATCAGGAAGCTGACCGGAGGGGCAGACAAGTAAGAAAATCTCTGTGTTTAAGGGAATCTAGTTGTAGCTCCTTTTTAAAAATACAAATGAAAGTACAGACAGATCTCACCAGAGTAGTGTTGAATACAACTATTGAATGGCAAACTGAGGAGAAAACAACACATTAAAAAAAGGGGGGAAAAAAAAAAGGGCAGGGGGAAAAAAAATTAAATCTGTCTTTTTTTTTTTTGTCTTTTTTTTTTTTCTGTGACAATGTAATTGCTTCCAGGAAGCACTACTGATGGGGGGAGATGGCCAGATGGAAGGAAAGAGGTTCCCTAATTATACCAGGCTCCAAGCCTGGATCTCAAACCTCATGGAGAGGCGCTGAGACTGTGGTGGACCTGGGGAGCTTTTATTCACCAACAGCTTTTCTTACCTACAGATGCGATTAGGACAGAAAGACAAGCTTAACATTCCTCAGGGCCTGATTCTGCTCTGTCCCATGCTCCATGTGTTCTTAGTGAAACCCTTTCTTGTCGTCGTGCCATAGCTCACCACCCAGTAACTGGAAAATAAGGTGTCCTGCCCCATGATGGGGTGGGGATGCTGTGGTGACACAGGCCAGATAAGTGCTGAGCAGAGAGGAAGTGCTGAAAGAAGTATTTATTTCTTTATGCCTCGCTGTGGCACATGTGTTCAGCAAAGGATTTAAAGTCCCCTTCAGTGATGTTGGTGTTCTGAAATGCAGCTCCTTTACATAAGTTATGCAGAGGTATAACCTTCTCCCTCCTATTCCTAAATGCTGTTGGGATTTTTTTAATGTCTTTGTGAGATGCAGCTCAAGTCCATAATACTTTTATTTGAACTTCCGTTTGCAGGAAGCCTTGTGCACATGAAAGGAGCTCTAATTTGCCCTAGTGGTATAATCTATTACTTCCCACGTGCTGCGTAAATTATTTAAGCAGGGTCCCAGGAGTCTTCTGTCTCTGCTCTTGCTCGAATATCTGTTTAGGAGCTGTGTCGGGGAGCACATGTTGGCCTCTTGACCTCCCTCACTAAGTGGGCAGCAGAGGTTACTTGGGGACTGCAGGAGTGGAGCATCCACCCATGGGAGTTTGCAGGGTGCTTTGAGATCCTCTGAAGGTGCAAAGCATTGGTGCCACCACGTCTCCTCTGCCCTGCTTCCTCTATGATATTTCTAGCCACTTGCTTTTTTTTTGAGACCCAAAAGCATTTACTGTGGTAACAGTGGCTTTCTCTTTTTCTTCTTGCAGGGGGAAATTTGTTGCCCTGGAAAACATCAGCTGTAAGATCAAATCGGGCTGTGAAGGGCACCCTCCTTGGCCAGAAGGCATTTGCACAAAGTGTCAGCCAAGTGCCATCACTCTCAATAGACAGGTGAGATGGAGCTCGCAGGAGCCCTCATGCTTAAAGCTGAGAAGGGACTTGACTTTTATTGTTGGAGAGATGACTTCAAGAACAGCCAACTTGGAGCAAGACACCTTTGCGTATTGGCAGTTGTTGGGGAAATGGCTGTTAAGGTCTTCAGTCCTTGCAGAAAAGGACTCCAACACCTATCTGGTTCAGCATTTTCCTTGTAATGTGGAGGACATCTGAGCTAGCACCACTAGCGATGGATCTCCACTTCTTTTCCTCAGGGGATCCAAAAGGCCACCCACTGTTTCTTCTTGTTTCCTCTTAAATTTCACTGTCTTTTTTTAGTTGCAAGGGCTCTTGGGGTAAGGGCCCTAGTAAAGAAGCCAAGCTAATAGGGTGCTGGGGCTGCTCAGTGCTTTCCTACACTCCAGCCCATAGTGAGTTCTGCTTGCTGGGCAGGAGAGCAGTGCTGAAGGCAGCAGAGGGGAGAGGGAGGGGGCCAGCTAGCTTTCCTTGTCCCTGCTTTGGCAGGATTCAGCTGTAAGGGGTTGTGTGCGTCCTAGGCAGTTGGGAAGGTATTGACAACAGGCAAAGTAAACGGACCTAGTCAAGGATGGCCTGACACTTGAACTTTGTCAAACAGAAATACAGGCATGTTGACAACATCATGTTTGAGAACCACACAATTGCAGATCGCTTCCTAGACTTCTGGCGGAAGACAGGAAATCAACATCTTGGGTATCTATATGGCCGGTACACAGAGCACAAAGACATCCCTCTGGGGATCCGGGCGGAGGTTGCTGCTATCTATGAACCCCCACAGGTAAAAGCTGGGTGCCGTGGTGTCAGTGTTGACTCGTGAAGATAATTGGGGAACACGGAAACACTTTTTTGTTTGGGAAACCTCACCAACTGCAGCTCCATAAGGAAAACGGTCCCATGAAAAAGATGATGTGATTTATGTCTTTAATGTCACTGTCAGTTATTGCCACTGAAAGAATTTTAAAGCCCAGATTTGCTTTTTGTTATTTTTACACTTTCTTTTACATTATTGCATGCTCAGATGATTTAAAGCTAGAGAGACTTCATAATAGTAGATTTCCTTGTACATGTTTCCTTGATTAGGGGATTTCCAAGGTCGTGGTACAGAACAGCCTGAAAACAAATTCTGTACTAGTTTAAAAAATGTTGCGGCCCTTGCTTCAATTTCTTATCAGCTCTCTGGGAAAATGTAAGCAGCTTAATTAGACAAAAATGAAGTCTGCTGCCTTGATCGAGAGGCCGAGGTTGAGATCTGATGCCTCAGAGCAGCCGGAGTCCCCGCTAGATGGTGCACGGCACCGCGCAGCACCGCACTCGGCACCACCACGTCCTCCGGGGAGGCCACAGCCAGAGCAGGTCCCGCCAAGTCTGGCTTCCCAGAGAACCCAAAAGCTGAATTCAGCGTCAGAGAGCCGGAAAGGGAGGTGGCAAATGCTAAAAGCCACTCTGCCCATGACAAAAGTCTTGGCTTGAAGTTGAGTTTGCCTACTGGCTTCTTCACCACTGACCAAAGTCAGTTTTCTAAGTGCAGACACTATGTATACAAACATCTCATGGTGGGTCATATGTTTTCTTCCTCATGATGATTTCTGCAGGGTTGCTAGAGTAAAATGCAACAGATTTGTCAGTGGAAAAAATTAAAATGGATCTTCGGGAGTGTGTGTGTGTGAGAGCAGAATTGCAAGCCTTTTATAAGTTCTTCCCTTTCTTTCCAATATGAGCAGAGCCATGCCCTCTATTGTTTCAGTATCACTGATTAAGCCCCTGCTTTGGAAGTTCATATGCTTCTAGTTGTGCACGGTAAAAGCAAGGAAGCTTTTGCTCTCCTGGCAAGCAGTCTCTGCTGTGCTTTTGACACGGCATCTCGACACACGAGAAAGCTTGCATCTGAAACGCACCCAGATGGAGTCGTGTTCTCCAGAGTGCGGGGGGGAAGGCCTGGGCGTGGGCTCTTGGATTCACTGAATTTCTGCCTCTCTGCTGCTCAAAGATTCAAACAAACGAAACGGCGGTACAAAACTGGCAGGTTGAACACAGAGCTTTGGAAAAATTATATAATCTCTTGCCTTTTCCAGTGAGCTCGGAAACAGCAATGGCCTGTTTGTAAATGCTGAGTCTTTCATTCATAAACCCTGACATAAACTTAGCTAACTAACAGGATGGGTCTGTGGGTAGAGGAGGTCTCTGGGGTGAAACCAGTCAGTGGTAATGCTGAAGGGGAAACCTAGAGCTCTGCTTCCATCCTCTGCCTCATTACTGACAATGGCTAAGTGTACTATGTTTTTTCCTGTTCTGTCTTACTAACAAGTTTTTCTTTGCTGCAGATTGGTACACAAAACAGCCTGGAGATCCTGGAAGATCCAAAAGCTGAGGTTGTGGATGAGATTGCTGCAAAGCTGGGACTGAGAAAGGTTAGGATGTTGTCGGATCTCATGCGTCTTTGTTTGGCAATGAAGAAAGTCGTCGGCAGTTCTCTTCAGCTCCATGGGGTTATTCAAGACCGTTTGGGCACATCTGAAATCTAGCTTAAGTGTCAGTAGCTCTTATGCTTTTAGGTATGAAAAAACAAAATGAGAGCATTTTCCTGAGCACAAGCATCTAGCAGGGCTGTGCAGCTGAAGTCAGCAGTCCTCTGTCATGAATGACATCAAAGGGAGTAGCAAAGAAGCAGAAACACAATTTTCCCTTTATTTCTCCGCAAATAGGAGCCGTTCCTGGTAGCATCTCCCCGGTGAGTGCTAATTTGGCACAGATGTAGCTGGAGTTGCCTTCCGAGTTTGTTCTTCCTTTTGACAGGATCTGTGCTCCACTTCCAGGAGCCGAGGCTCCTGCTTTTTTGTTTTTTTATTCGCCTCTGTGGGGTCCCATCTCTTGATGCTGCTGAGGCAGGCTGCAGCGAGTTAATCTGTACGTTGGTTTAGAGGTGCAGGTCCCCCAGCAGCTGAGCCTCAGTCCTCTGTTCCCCTCGTGCCTGCAGCCTGTCAGTCATCCCTTCAGGACGTATGGGTGTTGGGATCTGCTGGTTTGCTGACACCTCTCAAACCTGTACTGATATTTTCCGGTTTGGGAAATCGTCTGGTATCGTGTGAATGCCAGGAATGAGATGTACACAAACAAGATTTGACTTGCTAAAGAAAACACAAATCAGAAAAGACTCGGTACAGTAGACTATAAACATCTGTGGTGAGGTCTTTTGTTCTCTGAAGATAAGATCTTTAGCCTTTTGCCAGTGTCTGAAGCAAAGCTTCTGTGTGTGTTATTTATTTCCATGCTTTTCCTCTGCTTCTCACATCAGATATTTTTAATCAATATGACTTAACACGTAACTTGCTGCTGGTTGCAGATTTTTGTCTGTCTGGGCTCTGCTAGGAATCTGAATCAGCAGTTCTTCCTCTGAAGGGTTAACGCTGTGGGAGCTGGTCACGAGGGGCTGATCGGAGCTGTTTTTAGCACATGTGTGTAGAAGGGTTCACGCAGCGGTGTGTGTGTACGCATCTATACTCCTATGTGCAAACAATGCAAAAAGCAAGAATGTGTTTTTTGGATCGGAGCAGACTGATTTGGAATGAATCATACTCCAGTGGGAACATATGAGCTTTATCTTAACTAGTGACTGCGAGCTTCAAAATGAGATCATGTGAGCTGCTTTGTCATCTGCTGGCGCTCCCGATGCTGCTTTGCTCTGAATGCTCAATAGGAAATGCTTTTTGCTGTGGGTGGGAGGAGGTAGCGGCTGAGAGGCCTCTTGCAGCCTCCAGATCTTTCCATGAAAAAATATTCCATAGTGAAATATAAAGCTGCAGGTGCCCCCGGCCAGCCAGCTGGCATGCTGCTCCTGGAAATCGGATTCAAATGAGCCCGGCACAGCTGGGAGAGCCATTTCCTTCAGGCAGCATACAGCAGGGCCGTGCGAGAAGCCAAGAACATCTTGTCCTGCTAGGAGAAAATGTATAAGCTCTCTTCTGGTTTGGTTTGGAGTTTTGGTTTGTTTTTTTTTTCCTTTTTTCCTTTTTTCCTTAAAGCAACTTTCTTCATAACACTTCTTTATAGGTTGGCTGGATATTTACTGATCTGGTCTCTGAAGACACACGGAAAGGGACTGTTCGATACAGCAGAAACAAGGTGAGATTCAAGTGTGCAGCTAATTACAGCTGCTGGTACTGAGGGTTTGTGTAATAGCATAAACGCTGACTGTGCCAAGCAGAGTACTGAGCCAGGGCAGCACAGGGCTGGAGGTGATGCTGAGACTGGAATTCTTGTGAAATGGGGTTTTTCAGAAGCTTCTGAAGGAAAAGGAGCTTGAGCTCGAAGAGCACTGTTAGGGGTTTGAAGCTGTTTGCCTGCAGCCCTTCACCCGCTTTGCTTTAAGAAAATGGTGCTTGCGGTTTAAGAAAATTCAGTAGAGTGGAGGGAGTGGGGTAGTGTGAGGTGCACACTCAGTGAGCAAAAGTGACTCAGTCAAAGGATGTTCCTGTGGGCTGGGCTTTGTGAGATATACGTGGCTCAAACTTTGACCTTCTCGGCTTCCTGTAATTCTGAAATCAATGATAGCCCTATTTGGAAAATGAAACCCTGTTAAAAAAAAAGGTGTGTAAAGGTGGGTGGAACGAGAGGTGGGACAGTCCTTCTGGTGAGAGCCAGGCTCAGGGCTGGGGACCTGACATGTCGCATTCTTTTCTCAGTCTCTGCAGCAACTTTCTACGAAAGCATGTTTTACTGGGGTGTTGGTAGTTTTCTTTGGCTGCAGACCAGGGAAATAGGTCTAGGCTACATTGCGTTGTCCTTTTTATTCACATTTCTGCTCTTCCCTCAGGACACGTACTATCTAAGTGCAGAAGAGTGCATCACAGCTGGAAACTTCCAGAACCAGCAGCCCAACATCTGTCGCCTTTCTCCAGATGGTCATTTTGGATCCAAGTTTGTCACAGTTGTGGCTACAGGTATAAAGTGGCCTCGGCTTGCCCCAGCTCTCTGGGTTACAAGTGAATTATCTCTTGTTAATAGGAGAAGAATATGCAGCTCTGCCAGAAGTCATCAGATGTCCTGGTCCCCATTTGTCCTATTTAACAAGGGGTTTGCCTTGCTCTATCAAGTAAACTGCTTTTTCATTTTTTGTGCTATCTTCTCTACAATTATTTACCCTGTCCCCTACAGGAAACTTAATTGAGGCTCAGACCTGCCACATCTACCTCTCTGATCCAGAAGGCATTTTTTTGCCTGCAGCCAGGGGAATAACTATTGCTCACTTTTCTGTTTTGAATCTTTAAGCTCCAAGTTCTGTTGCCTGAAAGCGGCAGTGCAGAACCACGGCAATCCGGATCCTGAAAGTTACTCTGGCTGGTTCAGCATAAAGGAGGGACCTTTATCTCCCTTGTGTCGCTGTCAGGGAAACCCTTACGTAGGATGCTGTGCTCTTCCGTGCATGGAAACATTTTTTGTTTGCCTGAATAAAACAGAGAAGCCTGCAAAATGCTTTGCTTTGTCACCTCTGATTATAGCCATTTTCACAGCGAGTCTCCAGAGGCAATGTGGAATAGTCTGTGCTGCCCGGGCTGTGAGGGGAGATGTTGGCATGTGCTGGGAGAGTTGTAGTGTTAGAAGTTCAGTCTGCTGTTCTCCATGGGATGACACATGTATTCATTTAAAATTTCCCTGGAGCAGATACGCTGGGTTCTGGGTCTATTTAACACAATACAAAAAACGCGTGACTTCCAAATAGCATCCAGTGTAAAAACTGAAAGTGTGATATTATATTGCCTCCTCTGAGCCCAGGTTTTGTAAGTGTTCCCAGAGCCTTTTTCAGTGAAAACACTCTTTCAGTTAACAGGCCCATGCAATCGGACAGCTGCCTGTACATTCCAGACTGCTAAACGCATCCATCTTTCATTAAAGATAGATGTGTATCTCGCTCACTCTGTTTTTTTATTTATTTCTGTTTTCTTAAACAGAAACTGAGAAAATGATGGCTAGTTTTGTTCAGGCCTTCCCCGTGTCTTAGTCTATGTTTAATTTTTAGGAGTGTTTGTTCTGGAGCAGTGAGTGATTGAGGTTAGAGATCAAAGGGTAGAAAACGAATATTTCCTCTTTTCTGTTCCAGATAATTTCATTCTCTTCTGTTAAATCAGCCCATCAGGTTTCTATTTAAACACTTGATTCCTTCCTTTTGTGCTGTATAAATATATCTGAGTAGTTTGCATCAACTTTGCCTTTAAATCCTCTACATGGATTAATTCCTATTCCCTCCTGAATTCCTAGGTTTGGAAATAGTAACGTCTTCCTACCATCTGTCTGTATCTTCTCTTTCCAGTTGTATTCTAATGACATATGACTCGATGTTGCTTACATTATCCAAATTAAAGCGCCAAGCATGTGATCTATCAGTGAGCCAGGGTCTTAATTTCCACTTTCCATGTCAGATTTCCACCAAGCCATCCATTACAGGCTGAGAAAACACTTTTTCTTCTTATGCCTGACATTACTAGATGACCAATCCTGAAACTGCAGCTCATGGTTCCTTGGAAATGAAACAGGCTCACAGGAGCTGTGTGCCTGGTTTTTGTTTTGAAAGAGAGAAGATACCTGCAGGGTAGTGGGATGGTGATGCTATCAGGAGCCTTCTGAAAGGGCAGCTTCACCTCCTTTAAGCTCCTGGCAAAGCATTCTTGCTGTCACTCCAGGGGTCTGTCCTGTTAGGCTAGCTGTGAAAATGTGTGTTACTAAATAGATGTAGAGCTTAGAGGGGATCCTTCCCTAGAAGTACTTCCCATGCAGCAGCACCAGCGTTTTCTTCTCACCATTCTTTGCTGTTAGCAAGACCGTCATGTTTGATGTTGCTCTTTGAGTCATGCCTCTCTGAGTTACACTGGGCAAATCAAACTCATGTGGGATTTTTAACCTGCCTCTTCTCTTTCAGGTGGTCCCGACAACCAGGTCCACTTTGAGGGGTACCAGGTCTCGAATCAGTGCATGGCGCTGGTTCGAGATGAGTGTTTGCTGCCCTGCCGAGATGCACCAGAGCTGGGCTATGCCAAGGAGTCCAGCAGTGAGCAGTATGTGCCTGATGTGTTCTATAAGGTAAGGGCTGTGTGCTGGGGGTTGGGGGGAGCTGCAAAAACAGCTCTGCCGCGTGTCTGGAAATCAGTATGGCAAGCTCAGGAAAGGATGTCTTTGAGGTCTGAACTATTTTCAGTAGTAACCGTTCACCACATGTCTGCAAAGTAATTGCATAAGCTCCATTTCCCCCTCATAAACGTGCTGTTATGGTTTCCGGTGCAGCAGTAGCCATTGGCTGTCCAGCTTCTAAATGAGGTCTGCAGTGATCCACCGAGAGCCCGTAGCAAGTGCTCTGAATTCACCTCTTCCGTATTTGTTGGCAGTATTTGCCATGCTTCTCTGTTGATTTTAATCCCCAGCTGAGTTCAGCTTCCTCCACTGCACAGCTGTATGATGTGTGCTAGCACAAATGGTGCGGTGAAAACGATGGGTTCCTTATGCGGTGCCAGGGATTCGCTTGTGTATGACATGCTTACAGGCACCAACTGGGCAGTGGATGCAACAAAAGGTAGCATAATTCGTGCAGCAAGAGGAGAGACAGCCCTGTGCATGCTTCTCTGTAAGTAAAGGAAGGTGCAAAGGCTTTCAGAGCAAGGGCAGGACCAGGGTGTGCCCCTGGCTTTCTCCTTGAGTATTGGGGTTACTGCCTGTGCCCAGGTCCTGTTCTTGGGTCAGACAGTAAGCTCCAAAAACTGGTACTCAGGAGCAGCGGGATACGTGCATCCAGAGCGGATCCAAAATACTCTTACGTGAAGCGTCATGCAAGAGCGCTGCTGGTAACTTTTCTGCTGCAGTTTTCGGTACAGCTTGATGAATGGACTGTCATTATTCCCTTGACAGTTGTTTCTGGAGATCTTCAGGCCCCCTGTATCTGCAGGGCCGAGTTAGAAACTTGGGGACAGGATCTCTGTGGAGGCTAATAGCACTGCTTCTCAAACGTGTGTATGTTGGTGCCCCGTGAGCAAGCCAGAGGAATTAATTAATGGCACTGCTTGCCAACTAATTAGCCATCCATCACCCAAGTTAGTTATCTCATTCTTGTCTGTCTGATATACACAGCCCGCTCAGCCTGCAGCACTCCTGCCGCCTGTATTAAAGCCGTCTGTTAAGGACCATAGGATAAGTAAAGCTACCGTCATTTGGGACGACAGAAATGAGCGTATTGTGCACCAGCGACAGAAATGGAGCTGGTCCAAATGCTCTTGTATGCCCTGAACCTGGGACTGGGAAATGCTGGCCTGGGTGAATTAGCCTGTGAGACTCCACCTTCCCTCTCCACCCCTTAACTGAACTGCTGAACTGCTGGCTTGTCTTGAAACCACCTGAAAATGAGGAACATCTCTTGGCTAAATTCAGTGCTTGAGAGGAAAGGTAGATGGAATCCGTGCCTTTTTCCTTAGCACACAGACAGCTTGCTCTTAGGAGCTGATAAGCCAGGTCCAATTTAGATACAGTGGAGCTCGATTGTGCAAAGGTTGGCCCTGAATGCAAAGATGAGATCATCTCCTGGCGTGCTGCGGTCCTGCTCCAGAGGAGCCCGTGCTGTGCCACAGTCAGGGTGCAGCCTTGCAGGAGGTCCCGTAGGTCTGTGTCCCACATGTGGGCCACCCTGGGTGTTTGGAGTAGCAGGAAGCCAGTGGGTGTTCCCATAAGGTCTTCACTCCCATTCGTAATCTGAAGCAGGGAGATAAACAAAATGCTAACTGATGGCTCCAGCCTTCTGTGGAAATTTCCATGAACCACTGATTCACTGGGTCAGGCTGAAGCTTATTTCATATGTTTTATAACTTCTATCCATAATTGCCTTTTTCATGATGTGCTCAAGGAAGGCTTGAGGACTGCTCTGGTGGGTGTAATTGTCCTTCAGCCTTAAACGTGTTTGGCTGTAGGATCTCTTAATTTTTTTGGAATGTTCTTAAATCAACGGAAAGCTTAGTCACTCCTGGCTTTGAAAACCTTTGGGGTCTCATTAAATGTGCAAGGCTTGAGGTCAGAGACACTACCTCATAGTTACTGGGTTGGTGACAACAATGGTGTCAAAGCATTGGTTAAATACAGTATGAGGAGCAGGAGTCCAGTGCTTGGCCTCATAGCAGAGGACAGCTGCTTCATGGTGCAGCGCCCTGCTCCCCCTTTGCAGGAGCTGAGCAGCTTTGTTCCCAGTCCTTGATGTGGGGGTTCCCCTGTGTGTTGCCCCGCCAACTAGCTTTGGGCAGAAAGCTGCACTTTTGAGTAGTTGCTACATTTTGTCTTGGACTGAGAAGCTATCACTGGTAGAGAGAAAAGTCCATATATATATTTCTATGTAATACACAAGTATTCATTTGAAAAGCCCTTTAGGATGAAAGGAGCCATACAAATTTATTCTAATTGGATGAGAACCAGAAGGCCAATGTTTGTGTAGTGTGGATGTATTTATAGAACAACTATGCATCCAGACACAAGGCAAAATCTATTGAACTCTCGTATCTGCCTACAGCAGGGTAATGCAGTAGATTCACCTTTGGCTTTGCGAATAGGAAAAGGTGCTGCTGTTTTCATCTATAGCAAAGTGTAAGCCAACAACTGTGCTACAGTCACGTTGTTCGAAGAAGACATCTTGTACCTCTGCTCGCAGTAGGTGTTGTTACTTCAGCAATGACTGTTAGGAAATGCATCTGGATTGGTAATGCCGCAGGCGCAAGAAGGACCCGCACTGCAGGCAGGAGAGCTGCAGCTTCAGAGACTTTACTGCACAGGCGAAGAGGTGCCTGGAAGGAGAGCAACGGCTGTCTTTGGTCAGCGAGCTGTTTTTCCACGGTTTGCACCACGTTTTGTGTTTGTGGAGTGGGAGCAGGGGGCCACCGCATCCCCTGGGGCTGCAGCTGTTCCTGCCTGAACGTGACTCACCTCGATGGTGTGTTAGCATAGATGGGCTTTTCTTCCATGGAAATAGGAAAACTGATGGCACCAGTGTTGTCCTGCCTCAGGAGGCGAGGCGTTTTTCCTAAGCCTCTAGCCTTGTGATTTCTGTATTTCTTTACCATTCTCTTTATGTTGGCCACTAGCCCTGCTGCTTAGAGGAACCACCCCAGTGGAATTGGCAGTATGCGCTTTCTACATGCGGCCGTTGCTTTCCTGGCTCATGAAGGCTAGAGTTCTGCTCTAGTGTGAAAGTCGAGGGCTTTGGGGACCATGAGTACGAGTTACTTTTCTCCAAGATGCCTCCCCAGGTAAGATTAGCCAAAGGAAGAAAACATCCCCCTTGGCCTCCTGGGTTGTCTGTGAAGCGTCACAGCACAGCGCTGTTTCCAATTCGAATGTTGCACAACCGGCACATGCTTCTTGGCGAGTTCGATGCAACGAAACTCATGAAGGAGTCGCTCTTGTCAAGACACAGCCACACAAGTTGGGGTAACCGCTCTCTTTGTGAGTAAAGGCGACGAAGTTGCGATGGTCACTTCACCCTGTTTCTCTGCTGGATGAGGGAGATCCCATCTGAACATTACATATGGGCCATTTTCCATTCCCTGTCTTCTGCCCTCAAGCAGTCTCCTTTGTCCATCTGGTTCTAGAAAATAACTGTATTGAATTTCACTAAGAATGTACCTCCCAAACTGTGGGTTCATTATTCAGAGCTGAAGTTGCTTGCAGATGGTGCTCAGTGCCCCAGCTGGGTGTGATCCTTCCCGTTGGGCTGCCTGCACCCTGTGCTTGCTGTCCACCGGCTCCCAGCTCCCTGTGGTCAGTTTGCCGAGCCCATAACTTTGCAGTGCTGCAGCGTTGCCTAACTCTGCTCCCCACACACCTGCATGCTCTGCTCCACCGTTAACTTCATGGGTGTCTCGACCTCACACCGAATGGGGGAAGGAGGTTGCTGTGTTTTACGGACCCTTTGAAACAATCGAATAATTGGATTTTGGGACTGGCTGGCTTTGTCTCTTATCACAGGTATTTGTGTCAGCTTAGTGTAAACATGAAGATGTCATCCTTGCAATGAATTGCGTTTTACAGCTGCCTGGAACATTCCCCCAGAGTTTCTTTGCGATGGTGTAAGACAAAAGCCCTTTACAATGGCACCAGTGTTGTGAAAGAGCCCTTTGCCCTCGTAGAGTCCTGCGCGTGCTTTGTGCATTTACAACGGCTGAGACAGTGTCTGAGCCTTGGCTTGTCATCTGTTAAATAAAAGCCAGGGCACTGCTTTTATTAGAGCCAAACGGGACCTCCGAGCAGGCTGTCCCCTGCGTGGCACGCTTTGCTTCCACCCATTCGCTTTGAAATCCTCTTCCCAGGGAAGACATGATAGCCAGGCTGCGTGCAGGCTTTTGCAGGGAGTTTTCACTAACAGCAAAGGACTTCCCCTGGCTGGCCTCCTACCAACGGTTCGTGTTGGACTGGAAAAGCCTTCTTAGCCTTAAATGTCCCAGCTGCTCTGGGGAGGAGGATGCTTGATTAGCTCACAAGGAGTCTCCTGAGAAGGGTTTCAACTCTCACTGACCTATCGCTTGCTCTTAGAAAAGTCGCTGCATTTCTGTGCGTCAGCTGCTCTATCTGTGCAAGGGGGCAGGACTGCCCAGTAAAGCCCTTGGAAATCAGCAGAGGGAAGAGCAAGGCTGGACTTTATTAACACACAGAAAGGACAGACAGCTGCTCAGCTCCACGGTACCTTCGGCAGAGTGAACCCGTGGGGAAGACTAACAGCATGGGATGCTAACGGCTGTCCAGCCCTGGGACATGGAGCTGGAGCCTCCCTCCTGGCTGACAGCTGCCTGGGCTCCTCGCTTGACTGCTTCCCTCACCCTCGATCGAAAATCCCAAGGCCACCCAGAAGCCTTTCCCACTGCAGCCATCCTGCAGTGCTGCAGAGGTGTGTGAAGCGGCCGGCCGCGGTCCCTGCGGGTGCACCCATCCTTTTCCCAGTTTGACCTCATCCGTTCGCAGCTTCTGCCTGCAAACAGTGGTTTGAAAGGCTCTAATCGTAGCGCCTGATGCAATCTCCAGTTTGCTTCTGTCTTCGGGATGATTCATTGTCCAGATCCTCCAGGCCTTGCTGCTTGATATTTGTCCAGGAGCCAAATACTTGCACCTTCGTTAACCCCTTCTTGGCCTCCTTTTGGAGTGGTTGCCACTGGGCATTCATGGCTTTGGGGGTCTCAGGTTCTGGGGCTGCAGCAATAACGTGCCAAGAGGCGCTGCTGGGGCCCCAGCGACTGCCGAATTCAGGATGAAGATGTCTTTCTCCCAGCAATTCTCTCAGCTTGACATTTGTTAAGGCCTTTAAAACTTAATTGCCTAATAAAATGGTGCATGGGGGTTGGAGAAGAATGCTGGCACTGGAGGGGGGGGGCTTTTCTCTCTGGGGAGGGGCAGGGTTGGGACATGTCCTCGACTCGGGGAGCGAGGTTCCAGTTTGGTAGTAACACTCTAGTGCATGTCTTGAAGGCCTCAGCAGCATGACATTAAAAAGAAGGCATTTAACATGGAAATCCCCAGAGGCGGAGATTAAAGCGAACAGGTGCTGGAAAAATGTTTCTGCATATTAGAACTTAATTAGATTTGAAAATGAATTCCAGATGGGCTAATTATGTGTGAGTTGTTGCAGGTTCTTTCTTGCAGGGACAGGATTGTGTTTGGGAAGCTGATTCGGTCTGATTGGATTTGATTCCTCACTCTTGCGGTATCACCGAGATCTAGAAGCAGGTTAGCTTTCAGGTCCTGTGATCTCCCTGAAAAGGCTCCACGTCTCCTCCTGCTCCTGTCAGAGCCAGAGAGATCTGAGGCCACGAGCCACCAGGCTTGTTGCTGAAATAACCACAGGGCCAACAACCTGTCATGTTCAAGGAGAAAAGATCCTTATCGGAATTGCTTTTAAAAGGAGCTTCAAAGACTGGAAGCTAGATTTTTTACAAAGGGAACTGTTCCTAGGGACAGAGGATGCTTGGGGAGGGGGCTCAGGAAGGGGGGCTGTTGCCTGGAGGGGAGCAGCATGCCAGAGCCTGCTTGGGCGATGTCCGTCTGGGTGTACCGGGAGAGCAGAGCGTGAGAGTGGCGTGCTGGCTGCCACACCACATATTTGTGCTGTGTAAATACTAGCGTAACCAAGAAATGCTGATAGCGGGGGAGTGGCGTACTCCGGGAGAAAATACAGCTTGGGAGAGGAGGGTGTCAGCCGTGGGCAGCTCATTCTGATGCACAGTGCTTACTGGCTCGGCCCAAGGAATGCTGCTCAAAACCCCGCAGGGGACCTGCTGGAGGAGTGGGGGTCACGGCCTCTCGCCGAGGTCCCCCAAAGCCACCGAGGTGTTGGGATGACGGCTCCACCAGTGTGCGGCGGCTCTGGGTCTGCCTCCAGCCACTGGGACTCCTGAGAGCTCAGTAAACGTAAACTTTAATGTAGGGTCCCTGATTGGAAATTATGGGTGTATGATTTATATGGGGCTCAGTGAATGATTTATAACAAGTTAAGTGATGATTTAGGTAGAAAATACAACCCCCTCTTACAGAATCTTTAATGAAAAGTGTCAGTTCTCATGAATTTATTTCTGAAGCTGTGTTTGAACTCAGCATGTTTGACATAAATCACGTCTAATTGTCATTTTATGATTAATGAACATATGCTGGCCATTTTTCTCCATAATTAAACTTTATGTTCAATTCGTCTGGCAAAGCAAAACAAGTTTATGCATTGTGATATGCTGGCTCTTCAGGTCTGTGTATGAGAAAGTGCCTGGATTTCCAATTCCCAAGCAAGAGCTGGATGAGAGACTCGTGGCCCGTTTTGCAGAAAGTCAGGTTTGCCTTGGCTGAGAAAGCAGATGTGGCACTGTCCCTCCCTTTTAAGACAGTACTGCTCCTTAAATGGCATTTGCACTTCTTAGATAATGCTAGGCACCTCTCTGGTGATGATGACTGAGACAAACAAGATCAAGGTTGTTCGTGACCACGCACTCCCTTAGCTCACGAGGAAACAGAGGTCCCAGCTTACCGACTTATAGAGATCCCTAGCCCCAAGGAGCTGCAGGGAATTGGGCAGCTCCGCACCACCCAGCCACATACGAGCAGGTTTTCCACACCCTCAGTGATCTGCCAGAGCTAAGGATCCCCGGTGTCCTGTGTGGGCGTCTCCAGGGCAGGATCCCTTAGGCTTCACACGACTTCCATGGTGAGGAATAATTAGACTCTTCTTTTTTCAGGACATAGACAAGTTTGGCAACGAGATCACACAGCTGGCTCGCCCGCTCCCGGTTGAGTACCTAATCATAGATGTAAGTATTCATTGCACTTGTTTGCTTTCAGCAGGGGAAGGTCAGGGCGGAGTGAAGTTCTTAACCCACCTCTAAAATTCATATTGGAGGTGATTCATCAGAGATGTTTTCTTTCTTTCTCCTTTTCCCTCTGCTGCCAGGCATTTCTAGCACAGAGGTGCAGGAGGCAGTGCACTCTGGGGTAGTTGCAGTGCTCCTTGGGATCGGTGTGGTGCCAGGGAACACAATTGTTTCCTGGGAAGGCACTGCCTGGTGCCTTATCACGGCTCCAAACTGGCACATAGCCACGCAGCAGGGAAAGCAGCCAGCCCCACGGATACGTGTGCCGGGCGCTACCTTACGTGGAGCTAATTAGAAAGCTCCAGTTGTCTGTCTCTTAGCAGCAATTAAGAATCCATCTCCTTTTAGTGACTCAGCAGACCAGGTTGGTTGTACAGAAATGCCTTTTCTTGGGGGAGGGAGTTCACGCTACAGCACAGCTTGGCTGGAGCAGGGCTGCTGCCTGCCTGCGAGCGAGCGCTGCCAGGCACTGGGGCACAGCTCTGCCCTTTGGCTTGAAAGGAAACTGTTACGGTGTGGAAGGCAGGAAAGCAAATAATTTGGATGACAGATGATATTGCTGGAGTTAGAGGTGGTGCCAATAGCGATTAAATCCACCCGGAGCAACTGGTCTGGTCCAGCTGCCCCTGGCACAGGCAGTGTCCCGTGGGCGCAGGGAAGCTGGCAGCCGGGAGGCTTCCACTGGCTCGTCCTTCTTCCCCGTTTATTAGCTGCTGTGTTATCAGAGCAACGCTCGGGCTGACACTGGGATGTGTGACTTGCACAGAGAAATGTCATGTCCAGAACAACGGGCCCATTGTCTGGAGCCCTCGGACACCCCATGCTAGTCGGCAGTGCTGGAGCATATTTATTACTCAGGTAGTAAAGGCATCTGTTTCCAGGCTACCTGGGGTGTAATTAAGATGAAAACAGATTGATGGAACCTGCATTTAGGAGCAATCTGGAAAGCTGCATTTCTGAAGCATCTTGTTTTGTCTCTTTTAAAAAAAAAAAACAAAAAACAACCAAAGGCATTATTCCAGTTAATACTGTCCTGGCAGGTATTTCTGCATCTCTGCTTACAAAGGGCCTCACCAACACGGCCCAGCAGTCAGTAACTGACACCAAAGCCTTAAAGCCCCCAGAATCGGGACTCGTTAAAATGTCAGAAGCTGGCCCAAACACTGGCTTGTGAGCTCAGTAACGTGGGCGCAATGTTGTATTACCCTGTTCCCCATCCCTTTGGCACAGGGTGCAAGGAGGAGGCAGGGTGAGTGCACCCAGAGCGTGGGGTGACTCTGTTCAGTGAAGTGCAAAGGTGTTTTCTTGGCACCCATTCCAGCCCGAGCGGAGCAGCATGGTCCCCTGGCTACCCCGTGGCCAGACAGAGGGGCCATGGTCTCCCTTGCTACCCCTTGGTGTTAAGGTGACACCCCCAGCAGCAGCAGCAGCCTGGTATGAGGCAGAGCTGTGCTGGGAGCTGCTGGGTCCTGGTGACCTTTGCAGAGAAGGATGCTCTCCACAGCATCGTGCTGTGCTCTTGTCAGGGCTGAGCTCAGTACATCTCCCTCCAGCTTCGTTAGAAACGATTGCCAGGAGTTAAGGGGTGTGCTGATTGAATATTACTTTAAATGTAAAAAGCCATCAGAAGATCCCTGCTGTAATTGCCTTAGTGTCTTCCTGCCTGAGCTCTAACGCGTAGCCGTGGCTGCTGTCACCTCTCAGGAGCCTTGCTTCCCATATCCCACTTGCCTCTCCTGCTGTCAGCACTCTGATCATCCTTTCTTGGATTTTTAGATTACTACAACTTTCCCCAAGGATCCAGTCTACACTTTTTCTATTTCTCAAAATCCATTCCCCATCGAGAACCGCGATGTGCTGGGAGAAACTCAGGTAAGGAGTGATTGATAACAAAGCTGTGTTTAATACAGGTAGGCTGTTTGTCTCCCTTGCCCTTACTAGTATCTGCAAAGGGACGGCTGCAATTGTGCCCTTAAATCACCCCATTGCGGTTCAGTCCAGTGCTTGCCAAACACCTTCCTGCACAGAGCAGCGTCTGCATGCCAATCAGCCAGTTGGACGCCTTGCTCCCTGCCTGCTCGGTGATGGGGACCAGGGCTCCTCACTCTGTGCCAGGGCTGATGCCTCCCAGACAGCACGAAAGAGGTCGGGGGGCTCCAGCCCCACAGTGACAGCACGGGACCCACTTCTCCCAGACTCTAGGGTCTGTTGCTCCAGCTCCGAGAGCACTGACTTCTCTTCCTGAACAGATTTTTAAAGCGCAGAGGCCATTTACTGTAAGAGGCCCATAGCATTGAGCAGGGGCAGCTGCTGGACAGCTCGAGGCACTCGCTGGGTGTTGCCAGCACACAGAAGGCTCGAGTTGCTTTAAAGCAGCAACAGCTTGTTTCTCTAAGGAGGCTGTGCCAAAGATGTCAAAGGCTTCCCTCCAGAAGTCATCACAGGAAAGGGGTCTCTGCCCGTTGTGGCTCTGTGGGCAGAGTGGGAGAGGTTGGCTGTTCAGCGCCAGCTTTGGTCCTCATTTCTGAGGACGCCCTGGGTTCAAGAGCAGAGGAAGAGGAGAGGATGGGGAAGAAGGGGCTGCTTTGTCCTCACCTGCCTCTTTTCCTTAGGGACTGGGCTTTGAGCTGAGCTGACTGGCCTCTGTTCAGCATCTTTTGGGTCTGAGATCCGCTCTCTATGTGCTGGGGTTGTTCAGGTGCTCAGATAGGAGAGCTAGTGTGGACCCAAAGATCCTTTTCTCTGGAGGTTCTCTGGAGTTAGCTGCAACTCAGTGAGCCAGCCTGGGATCTGATTTCAGGAGGGTCTCTGCACATTGCAGCCAATGCCCAGAAGAGACAAGAATGTTTTAGTGTTTGTTAGTGGGTTCGAATAGAAAATAAAGTTACCACATGGGGGAGAAGTGACTTCTCTTTATTACTTTCCCCTCTCCCTAGGACTTCCACAGCTTGGCCACATACCTGTCCCAAAATACTTCCTCCATTTTCTTAGACATCATTTCCGATTTCCATCTGCTCCTCTTCCTGGTCACGAACGAGGTCATGCCTCTGCGGGTACGTAATGGGGAGGAAAGGGTCACGTCAGCGTCGCAGTTCCCAGGGTCCTGAGCTCCTCCTGGCGTGTCACCTACATGGGTGGAGGTGACCAGCTCAGCCTGCCACCCCCAGGCACGTCCCCCCTGCTGGGTGCCTGTGCAGGCAGGCCATGCAGCTGGCCCAACGCCTCTTCTTCCAGGCTGAGCTGCTGGTAGAAGGTTTAAAAAGTCAAACCAAAGCCCCCGAGTAGACCAATAGTCTCAACACGCTGCTCAGAGCAGTGAGGGGGTGGTGGTTGTTAGCACGGTCACAGACTGGACAGAGCCAACTTGGCTGCGGCTCTGAGAGCTGGAAACATTTTTAAAAAATATCTCAGAATCAGAAATTCCTGTTATAATGATAACAAGATCAGAGCCCCCAAATCTCGGTGAGGCCAACAACTTCCTCGCTGTGCAGCTCTGCCACTCTTGGCTGGGCACCGGCAGCTTGGCGGATGCCCAGGACCCCGGTTCACATCTGCACTGCCGGACCTTCCCAGTATAAGCAGCACACCAGCGAAAAGGGCCACATGTTTGCCAGAGGCTTCAAGGGCGCCGAGGACTGCGCATGTGCGGGGCAGCCAGGCTGACCCTGGGCAGCTGGAGATCAGGCCGGGGCTGTGTGCATGGCCGGGGACGGGTGCTGGCACGCTCTAGCACAGCGGGTTTGCACCCCCAAGAGTCAGGCTCAGCCCGCAGCGCCGGCACACTTTCCTGCACCGGGGAGTGCGGTGGTCGACTGCAGCCTGGTTAGGGGATAACCTCCACGCAGAGGAAAGGGAAGTGTTTGGGTTCTAGGGGTATGTCTGAATGCTGGGGAGAGCAGAAGGGACAAACTGCGTCTTGCTCCTTGCCCAAGAACCTCACCTCAAAGGGGCAGCAGCTCAGACTCACAGTTCTGTCTTGCTGTGGCTAGTGGAGGAGGGCAGGGAGGCACTTCCCTGGTCACAGCCCCAGCCTAGGTGCCGGAGGAGTGTCCAGTGCTGATTTCCCTCTTACGAATTCCAGGACAGCATCAGCTTGTTGCTGGAAGCTGTAAGGACCAAGAATGAGGAGCTCGCACAGACCTGGAAAAAATCAGAGCAGTGGGCCACCATTGAGCAGCTCTGCAGTAAGAAAGGGGTTCCCTCTGGGAGGGGTTCCCTTGGGCCAGGGCTGGGCCAAGCCAGCCGGCAGCTGCGCAGTGCTGCTCTCAAGCCATCGTGGAGGCTGCTGGAGGGTCGGGTGGGAGGAAAGCTGTTCCTTGATCCCGAGCAGTCCCCGCTGCACCTCCCGGGACCGGGCTTTGGGGCTGCACCGTGGATCAGCAGTGCTCATCTGTGGGATGCTGAGATCTGCCACCACCTGGGAGCCTCCACCGGGTGCCAGCCTTGGGGCCAAGGGCAGCATTTCAGCAGGGAGGTTCTCACCTCGGTTGGGATGGGAAACTTGCTCTGGGTTTAGGCAGGGGACCTGCCTGTTCCCAGCACTTCTCCCCTGCTCTGACTGGACTCTTTCTCTCGCAGGCACAGTCGGTGTCCAGATCTCAGGACTACAGGAGTACGGTGCCATGGGTGGCTCGACACACGCTGTGTCGGCGGCCATGTGGGCCTGCCAGCACTGCACCTTCATGAACCAGCCGGGCACGGACCACTGCGAGATGTGCAGCCTGCCCCGGACCTAGCCATGCCAGCGCAGCGGCAGACTCCAATACAGAGCAAACCCCCGAACAGCAGGAGTGGTGCTTGTCCCTTCCCCGTCCTCCCTTCTGCTTCCCCCCATCAGCCCCCGCCCCGGGGTGCGGAGCCGGGCAGGGGGTGGCTCCAGCCCTCCCCAGCTGCTACTCGCTCCCTTTCAGGGGCAGCCCCATAGTCGCAGCAGGAGCCGGGCGCCCTGGCTTTATCTTGACACCGGTCCCCGGCCTGGAAAACCAACGCTTAACCTCAGCCTTCACCCAGTGGGGCCGGGCTGTCTCCCCACCACCCCCAGCTGCTGTCCTAGCCTGCTCCTGGGTGAGCGCTGGGGGCTCTGTGGCCAGCTGGGACACCTCCCTCCCTGCCTGCTTGCCTGCCCGAAGCAGCCTTCCAGCGTAGCAGAGGTGACGGGGAGGCTTTGGCATCTCCCTGCTCGCAGCTTTGCTCCCTTTTCCCTGCCCGCGTGGGTGGCTGCCGCCAGCCTTGGGTGCCCAGTACCGACAGCTTTCGCACTAAACGGCCGAGGCAAGAGCGAGCAGACGACTGTTAACAGCGCTGGGCCAGACGGCAGCTCTGCCAGGCTGGGCCCCGTGCGCTGGCAGCGCTCCCGGAGCAGGACTGGCCACCCCCCACCCCCCCGCACCACTTGGCACCAGGCAAGGGGTGGGCATGTGCCAGCTCTCGGCTTGGCACCGCTCCTGTGGCACGCACAGGACCGAGCGGCAGAGGTGTTTCGGCACCCGGCTGTGCATGCTGGGGCTGGCGCGACTGCCGGCTGGGTGAACCCCCGTGTCCTGCCGATTCACTGCAGGGGCTGCGGGAGGGCTGTCCCGTTCCCCCCACTGGCCCGTGTGCCACCTCGCCCCGCAGAGAGCGGTTCAGCTCCTGGGGAAGGTGCAAAGCGCCTTGGGCAGCAGCTCGTCCCCTCCTCCGGAGCGAGGCCATGCGGGGGGAACCACATAACTCGGGCACTCACCTTGCCTCCCGCATACCGTGGCTCGGCAAGGGAGACGGACCCCGCAGCTGGCACCTTCCCCTGTGCTGGCATCCCCTCTGAGCACATCCTCCCCAGTGTGGGGCCAGAGCTGAGGGTCAGGCCGGGATCTTGCTGCTCTCTTTCCCCTTTAGACCCCAGCTGGGGGCTGCCCCGTGCCAGGGTGCCAGGCACTGGTGGGGCTGGGGAGGGGGCAGGCAGATATTTGGGGTGTCCTGGGGGCTCGGCCCTCCCATTGCAGGGCCTCTGACCTCCTGCCCCATCCTGGAGACCCCCTGCCCTGGCGCTGCGGGTTTGGGCCATTGTTAAATCCCTGGGGCAGCGGTTCCAGCACTGCCCCATGCCCTCATCGTAGGAGGGAGGGCGTGACGCCCCATCCTGTGCCAGGATGGCATTGCCCCTGCCTTCTCGGGGCAGGCAGCGTGGCAGAGACCCCCAGAACTCCCGAGCCTGACGGCCTCCCCCGCCCCTCGCTGCTGCCGGCGAGCGCTTGCCCAGGCTCTGCTGAAGGCCTTCATCCCACCAGCGTTAGCGGAGCGGCTGCCCAGCCCCTGCCACGGGGCTGGCGGACTGCGGTTTGCTTTTTCCCTTGGTTTGTTGGTGTTTGGGGTTGCAGCGGTGTGCGGTACCTGGACTGGACTGACCCAGGTGCAGGGTCTGCGAGTAACGTTGAATAAAAGCACCTGAAACGAGAGCCAGCGCCATGCCTCCTGCGCTCTGTTACCCGCCTAGGGGCTGCGACACTCCACTCTCTCCCAGCAGGACCGGGGGAACGCTGTGCCCCATCACCGGACAGTCGGCACCCTATCCCCTACCCGCGGCTCTGCCGCAGCCGGGCGGTCTGTTTGTAATCAGCGCCGGAGCCGCATGCGGCCGGGCCCCGCGCCAGACCAGCGGGTTGAAAAGGGAAGGCAGGAGCCGTGCGGAGCCAGAGCCGGGGGAACCAAGCCCGGCAAGCGGCTGCCTCGTCCGCGCCGGCCGGGACCTCAGCGCAGGTAGGAGGCAGAAGGGGCTCCGGTGACACTGGGACCCACGTGCCCAGCCTGGCTCTCAGGGACACGACGCCCCATGGCCACCCAGCCTTGGGGTCCCTGTCCCGGGGCTGTTGGGGACGCAGTGCCCCGGATCCCTCGCCAGGAGCTGGCCAGGGCCCTTCTCACCACGCTCTCCCCTGGCAGCGCCATGTCACGACTTCTTCCCCTCCTGCTCCTCGCGGTTCTGGGCTCTGCCGCCAAGCCAAAGCAGCAGCCGGCAGCGTGGGATGACGGAGCAGATGGTAATCCCCCGCTACACGGGACCCCCTCCCTGCCAGGCAGGGGCTGCCGGTGCTCGGGTACAGGCAGGGCCAGAGCTTCCCTGCCCAACGGCGGGCAGCTGCCCCCAGGTGTGGGGTCGGAGGGGTGCTGGGGTTGGGGTCCTGCCTGCGGCCGGGCTCCTGAGGCCGCTCGGGGGTCCCGTCCCAGCCAACTCGTCCCCTCCGGTCCCCGTAGCTGCGAGGGTGCCGGCGAAGGGCTGCGCCAACCTGACGCTGGTCCTGGACAACTGGAAGTTCGCCATCACCTCCCAGATGAGGAACCTGCTGCTCTTCGACCACCAGAACGTGCTCCCCGACTATGGGAGGTGAGGGGGCCGCGGGGGGCCTGGCAATGCCCCTCCGGGGGTGGGAGAATGATCGGTGGGGGTCCCGCACCCCTCACCTCTCTCCCCCCCCCCCCCCCAACTCCCGGGGTAGGATCCGATCGCTGTCGGGGGCCCTGGACGATCTATACCGGGACTTCAGCTCCCTGAAGGAGCAGCTGGGGCGGCTGTCGGCACGCTTCGCCGAGGTGGAAGCCTTCGTCGACCAGCTGAGCCGGGCCCGAGGTCCTGGAGCCCCCCCACGCCACCGGGGGCTACCCCAGCCGGTCCGCAGGCCCCCCAATACCCCGCAGTAGCCACCCCCGCACCCCAGCATCAGCACTGGGGGGGGGGGGCACCCGACATCAGCTTAAGGAGCCTCAGCCAAGCCCGGGGTGGGGGTCCATCCCAGCGGCCGGGTCATGCCCCCACCCGCGGGGAGGGGGGCGGCTGTGGGTCAGGCCCATGCTGTGGGGCAGGCCTCTGCCCCCCCCCCGTTCGCCATTAATAAAGCCCCTGTCACCAGCATCGTCTCACTCCTCTCTGCGCCCCCGAGGTGGGGGCTTCACCTTCATCCCCCCCCTCCTCCTCCGGTACCGACCCCGGGGGGGGCGTTGGGAACGGACCGGCCCAGGTCCGCCCATCACGGCTTTACGGCCTGTCGCAA